TACCCCTTTTTCAGTATATGTCAACCCCTTAATCACATAAACCCCTAGTCACACAAGTTTTCTCTAGTACTCAAAATTCTGATTCAACTTTTAGCATCTTCTAGTTTATGCTGACACTTTGAGGCAAGAATTGAGTATGACAACTTGTTTAAAAGTCTGTCATATCCATTTCCGCTCCTTTACCGCACAAATATTTTTAAAAGCTCTAAAACATTCTTAAATCTGTATATCTTCTGCTGCTGCCTAAAGGAACTCCAGCAACTCCTGCCACCCCAGCCAACATAGTGCAGAGTCTCCCAGACTGGGCGTCTCAAATCTCCAACACAGACACAGTGGCTGCGGTCGCCCAGATCTTACAGAGTCCCCAGGGCCAGCAGGTTAGATTCCTCCGTTACTGAAAACACTGTGTTCACTGCACAGCTGTATTTCTGACCGGTGTGTATGTGTGTGTTTCTAGTTGCAGCAGCTGGTTCAGAGCCTCCAGATGCAGCAGCAGAAACCTCAGCCCTCTCTGCTGCAGGCACTGGATGCAGGTTTGGTGGTGCAGCTGCAGGCCCTGACTGCGCAGCTCACTGCAGCCGCAGCAGCCAACACGCTCAACCCGCTGGAACAGAGAGTTTCCTCCTTTAACAAGGTGAGGGAGCTTTTAGGAACACTGCTGGCTGAAATAGTTAAACTCGTGCATAACACATTATTACTCTGTTGTGTTGTAGAAGCTGTTGGGTCAGTTTGATTTTGGGAATGAGTCGGAACACAGCGAGGATTCTAAGAAAGATGCTACATCTCAGTTGTAGGTTTTTTTTTTTTTGTATGCTACTTTGAAGAAAAGCTATTCCTTGTTGTTATTTTTGAAGACATGTTCTTACTGTCTCTTTCAGACCTGTGGTGCCAGAGTCCATCAATAGCTCAATATTTCATCAGCTGGCTGAGCATCTTCAGCAGCAAAACCTCGAGCAGTTTCAGAAGCAGCTAATGGAGCACCAGCAGCATCAACAGAAGGTACATAAAACTGTGATTCTTTCTTTGCATAACGTGTTAGAGCCCTTATGTCATTCTCGTACTTTGATGTTTATTAATGTGCCTTGTTATTTTTAACCGTCTATGACCATGGAGGGCCAGGATGCCATCTTTGGTCCTGAAAATTCAGCCCCTCCTGGCCAGAGCAGCGCCCCACCACAGCTCCCAGAACAAGAAGCAAAAATGGAGGACTCCATTGATAACCAGCAACAGGTATGATCAGAAATCAAACTGTAGTTGGGAGGATAATTAGAAGTATTAGAAGTAATGTATTGGCAATAGTTTAAAGATGCAATAAGCAATATTTGAAAAACGCTGTTTGGAAGTTACTCGGACCGACAACAAACCGTGTAGCCAATCAGCATTAGGGGGGCGTATGACAGTGGAGGAGAGAGAACTAGCAAGAGGGAGATTTGACGAATATCACTGGTAATTCCGCTAGGTTAGGGTTTAAGACTGAATCGGAGCAGGGCGGTTAGGATTGTAGGGTGTTTTGGAGGCAGAGCAATAAAGAGAGGGGTGTGTTTGTTTGGGTTGATTTCAAATATCAACAATGTCCAGCAGCATTTTTGAATAATTGCTTAATGCACCTTTAAATGTGACTGACTTGCAGAAGTCAGTCTTGCAGAAATCGCTGTCTTCTGTTGGATGTCTGTAATACTCAGTGATTAATAATTGAAGCTGAGTGACAAGTGTATAGTGGAAACATCAGGTTCACTTGTGTATTTTGCAGGACATGGATATTGATGAGGGACAGGATACTGTAGATGAGGAGGTCTTTGAGGCTGAGGAGAAGAAAACCAGCAGCACCCGTTCAAGGACACGTTCAAGATCTCGGTCCAGGTTGGTGTAGCAATTTCGCCAAATAGTTCTTGTCTTATTTCCATTTTTCAGACGCAGGTAAAGAGCTCTCATGTGAAAATCTCTTTACATCCCCAGGTCACCAAAGAGAAGGAGGTCAAGGTCTCGCTCAGGGTCTCGAAAGCGCAAACACAGGAAGAGATCACGGTCTCGCTCAAGGGACAGAAAGAGGAAGTCCTCACGTTCTTATTCCAGTGAGCGACGAGCACGGGAAAGAGAAAAGGAACGGCAGAAAAAAGGACTTCCTCCTATCCGCTCAAGGGTTCTAAGTGGTAAGATTACAGAGGTCCACCTGTGCTTTCTGAATTCATAAGGGTCAAGTTTAAGAAATTACTGCTTTGCAACAAAGTCACTTTAGACATGTTTTAAAGGGTTAAGTTGACATATAAAATAAGTTAAGTAAAGAATTATAGAATGATCTTATGAAATGTAATTGTGCTATGGTTGAGACAGTTAAGGTTTGTATTAGGGCTGTGCGATTAATCGAAATCGTCATAAAATCGCGATTTGAGCGTGTGCGATTTCTAAATCGCTTTATAGCACGATTTTCCGCACCTCGACCTCCTGCTATCTGAATATCTGAATTCGTATTAGGGCTGCACGATAAATCGCATGCAATATTTAACGCGCATCTTGTCAGAAAGCCGGTTCTGTAATCAGCGGTAAATCTCCATCACCTGCGGGCTTTCACATTGAGCAGCATTAACTACACAGAGCCGTTGTTCACTGACGAGCTGCGCAAAACCACGTTCATATTCGCGCGATTTTTTGCGCAGCTCGTCAGTGAACAACGGCTCTGTGTAGTTAATGCTGCTCAATGTGAAAGCCCGCAGGTGATGGATAGTTCAACATCTGAGGCAACGCCACAAAAGAGCTCTATGACCAATGCATGGCAAAAAAAAATCCCTGGACGCAGGATTTTTTTTCTTCTGCCATGTCTATTCTACAGACATTTTGTTACACCTTTACTTAGTGATTATTTTGCCTTATGTCTGTTCTAGAGACATGTTACAGCTTTTTGATAAAGCTCTAATTGGTTTTCTTTTGGAAATATGTTTCAAATTCACACTGAATGCATTAATGACTGTAAAGCATGTCTGTGTGTCAAAATCGTGATTAAAATCGAAATCTCAAAATTGATCAAAGAAATCACGATAGTTTTTTTTTGTCCATATCGCACAGCCCTAGTTTGTATTAAATCATGTTCATATGAGTGTGAAAATCACAAGCCTCCACATTTACTGACTGACTGTTGCTTTGGTCTGTGAGCTTAAAGCGATAGTTCATCCAAAAATGATAAAGCATTGTTACTTGCACTTTCAGGTCAGTGATGTATTACCACTGGAAAGGTTACATTCTTTAACACTTTCCTTCTCTCTAACATAAATATGCTTGCAGAGTTCTTGCAAATGTCTTTGATAAATTAATGTCCTTTTCACAACTGTAATTCAAGTTAATTTCCCTATAAATATATTTATACACACACACACACACACACACACACACACAAAGGGTTGAAATCTTTGCAATGATCTATAACATTTTTGGGAGGGGAATATGTCTAAACATGTTTCATTGCTTGCAGATTGCTTGGGCCCTCAATAAAGGGGTGAAACAGGAGTATAAGCAGTTCTGGGATGTGGACCTAGGGGTGACTTGTATCCCATGGGAGAAGGTCAAACTGGATGATCTGGATGACTTTGCAGAGGGAGGCATGATTGACCAGGAGACCGTCAACAATGGTGAGAAGATTTACTTGTTCAGCAGCTGAAAGTTTGGTATGTATTGTGTATATATTTGATCTTCTACACAGTACTTTTCCCATTCATAACAATACTGTTTTTTATGATGCAGAATGGGAATCCCAGAGAAATACAGAGACAGCCAAAGAGACTCAGAATCAGGCTGTTACAGCTGAAACCAGTACAGCAAGCAGCACACCCAGTGAGGCCTTTACCCAGCTTGTCACTATGATGCCCATGCAGGTATGATGATAACACTAAGTCAGGCCTTAAATTGCCATGACAAATGGAACAAAACGTGTTTAGGTTTCTTACTGTTGTATGTGATACTAGATAGTAGGGAAGTTGTTGTTTAGCCATTCTATCTATGACGGTAACCGAAAGGGATAAAAATGAAAATCCTGTCATTAATGACTCACCCTCATGTCATTCCAAACCCGTAAGATGCACGTTCAAGGCCCAGAAAGGTTGTAAGGACATCTTTAAAATAGTCAATAGGGCCCGAGGACTGCTGAATTAATAATGAATGACTGTTTACTTCTCTATGGATGGCTTATTTTGGTTTAGATTCCAGTGGCACAGACGGTCCCTGCTGTTGGCCTTGTGCCTCCATCCTTCCCTGTCAACATGGCAATGCCCCCACCAGGCTTTGGTCCCCCACCACCTTTTCTAAGGGCAGGGTTTAATGTCTCACAGCCTCCTCCAGGTACATGGTGCCAACCTGAATACTAAATAATGAAGTTTTTAACTGTATGATGGATTAAAAAAAAATAAATAAATAAATAAAAAAAAAAAAAAATATATATATATATATATACATCAATTTGTAAATTTCTCTTTCACAGGTTTCATGGCCACGCCAGGAGTAGGACCGTCTGCAGTTGGAACCAGTCTTGCTTCAGCTCAGACCTGTATGTTAACCAGCCTCTAAAATAAGTTATTCTTATTTTGCATAATGTTGCTTGTGAAAGCACTGTCCTTAAGGTCCAATTTTCAAGTTCCTAAATGGGCCTTTTATCGCCTTTATAGCTCTAGTGCAGCCTTCGTTGCCAGCCACTCAAGAGAACAGCAAGGATTCTCCGTTTGGAGCCATGATTCCTCCCACCAGTACTATTCCTGGGAGTTTTATTCCGTCAGCAATGCCCGGGGCAGTAGTCTTTAACCCTGTGGGAGCACAGCATCAGCAGAGCAGCGCTGACAAAATGCCTCAGTCGGCAGAAACGATGGAGACAGCTTCTGAGATGACACTACAGGGTAAATGGGTTTATAAGAACATTTTACATAATGTCAGTACAAGTCATATACAGCTAGCAAACCATATGCTGTTATATTTTTCTGTAGAACACAAAAGGAGAATCTTGCAGCAATTCATATGACTTGTGTGTTATATTTTAAGCTTGGCATGATGCATCTGCGTGCTATCTAAACATGGATGCCAGTGATATTTTATGGATTTGGTGGAGAGGAAGCACATTTTCATTCACACCAATATGAGACATTTTGTATTTATCTTTGTACTTTTTTTGCAGGAATGCAAAATGCAATGCGCAGTGGAATGGGTCTCCTCGGTATGCACCCTTCTGCATCTCTAACACATCCTCTCTCTGGCCAGAGGATGGCAGGGCTGCTTCCCCTGGAACTGCGGCCCAACCTGCTCCAGGGACCCGGAGGCCGGTTCCCCCTGCTCATGCAGCCAGGCCTTGCACATCAGACCAACAATGTCCTGGATGCTTCACTTCAAACCCATGCCCGCGTTCGGATTCCATTCTCTCAAATGGAGCAGTTCAACCGTGCTGAAGGCACTTTCGCAAGAGCACCTAACCCTTCGTCTGCTGGAGTTGACAGTCTGGTCAAGACTGATAATGAAACACCACGCAGGTCAGATGTAGGTGCCCAACAAGAAGGAGATCAGGACTATCGCTTTCCACCACCAGAGAAGCAGAGCACGGGGTTGTTGAAGACGCCTCCTTTGGAGATGCGTACTGAGCCTGTGCCTGCCAGACCACCTTTACTAGAACGACCTCCGAGAACAGTCTTGCAAGCCGAAGGTCGAGAAACTAGAAGAGAAAATATGTCCGGAGGTTTCAGGGCAGAAAGCCGCTGGGGACCACCCAGGGGGGACTTTGATGAGCGAGACACAAGGGGGATGTCTGGTGGACCTCCAAAGGGTTTCCAGGAGGATCGTTCCAACCCTAACTTTCAGAATCGATTTGAGGGCCGCAGTGGAAGTTCATCAGGACCCGCTTGGAATCGCGGAACTGGGCCTTCGTTTAATGCCAACATGCACCAGGACTACGATGATCGTCGCAGACCTTGGGAAAGGCAGAATGACCGAGATGACAGGGACATGGACTTCCGGTGCGAAATGAACGGCAATCGTCATAGCCGTGAGCGAGACAGAGACCGCGAAAGGGAGAGGGACAGGAATCGGGACCGTGAACGCGGCAGAGAGCGGAATCGCGAGAGAGACCGAGAACGGGAGCGAGAGAGGGAGAATGAGAAGGACAAAGAGCGCTGGACACCCCTTTCTTCACAATCTCAGCCCCAACCGCTGCTTCCCAAGTCTCAGCCGCTGCTCCCTCTGCCGACCCCATTGGTCGCTCAGCCTCAAGAACAAGTGCAAATGAAGTCACCGTCTCTGCCGGTGCCCCAACGCCAGCCTCATCCGGAACCACAGCCAACAGAACCAGATGCTGAACCACAACCAGAGGTAACACCAGAGCTACAGTCCAAGACACTCAGCCCCCCTGAAGAGACGGCAAGTAGTCAAGAGCAGGAGGGAGCGTCACGTGTCAATGGAACCGAGACGGATTCAAAACCTCAGCTAAACATTTTGGAACCTGTGTCCCAGAGCGCTACAGAGCCATCTCGTAGCCCCTCTCCATCCCTTCCCTCCACACCCACCTGCTTCCGGAATGAGCCCTTGAAAGGAGAGAAGACCCCAGAAATGTCTGTTTCCTCCTCTGTGGATGCAGACACTGAACAGACTGGGCCAAAGGTGAACGCTGAGACTGAACCTGAGCTAGAGAAAACAGACACTGAGGAAACAATCATCACTCAGTAGGTAAAGATCATTTTGTATAGTCATCTCTGTAATCGTTTTGAAAGATCTCACAGGACCCACTCAGTTCGCTAGATCATAGCAGACACCTTAACGAATGATTCTTGCCTCTCAAGCTTCAAATGTATATTGCATTCTAGGCGGCTCACACTAGAGGATCTAAATGGTAGGTGGGATTTTAATATTTTATTTTATTCCCTGTTTTTAAAGCAGCCCCATTGTTTTAACTAGGTGTTTTTTTTTTCTTTTTTGACACTTGCTTGCCAAAATATTGTGTAGCCTAATTGTAAATGCAGGAGGAAAAGAGGGTTGACCTTCCTATGGAAGAGTGTAAGGATTCTAGCTGTCTCCTTTGGATTGATTGCATTACTTGAAATCAGCACTGGCTTTTTCTTTTCAAAACTGAAGCTGCAAAATTTGAAATGATTGATTCTGTGGTATCCAGTGCTTCCTGTCTCTAAAGCAGAATATACGTACATCAAATACAGTGAGAACAGTACTGCGTTTTAGTTGCTTTGAAAAGGAACTTTACAAAAAAAATTAATTAAACTACGATGTATTATCCCAATATTAAATGTCTGTGATTTTTCTTCATCAAACTTCCATGGAAATACAAGAGCTCAGAAAAGACGATCAAAGGAAATATGGATGTTGGGTTTCAAATAAACATGCTCTGATTGTTAAAAAATTCTTTAGGACTGTGTTTTGTATCGAGAAGAGAAACCATCTGCACACAAACCATTAAAGCCATGAGCCAAGTGATAATGGCCCAAGTGTCGTGGATAGGATGAAATGTTTTAGGTTGTGAACTGATCTAAACTTTGGGTGGCCACCAGATGTTTGCTGTTAGGTTTGCGTTTAGAAATTCCCTCCGACTCCCTTTTACCCAATAGATCAGCTTTTAGTGCCGCATTACGGCTTTAATGCATTGGAAATATGTCATGCACACATCTGTTTTGATACAGCTCCACTTGTCTCACACTCACACACACCGAATATATAAAATATACACTGCTAGTGTTCAGTCACACAAAATTGTTTACATAAATACTGCCCTCTGAACTTAACAGAATGTTAACCACCTTTATTTTCTCCAAAATTGTGAAATAGTTGCAAAATACTGTAATACAGAGTCATTTACTTACAGGAATAAAAATCTAGAAAGCAAATTTACAAATGAGTATTTTTTTCATTGTGAATATAGTTTTGACTCATTTAAATGCCTGCTTTCTTCTAAATTTATTGCATGTAGGCCTAATTTTATATAAAAGTTACTTTATGAAAAGCGCTGTCCTATTCACGAATTACTTGAGTTTAAGAATCCGTCTGATTCACACATCAGTGTCATTTTTTTGTGTGTGCGTATAAATCAAAATGAACAAAATCATTACTTTGAGTAGTTCCTGAGATATCCATTTAATTACTGACGGCTTGACATTGTCAGTGCAGTTCTGCAGTAGGAATGAGATATTTTAATGAAAAAAAAAAAATGATTAGAATTATTGTTAAAGCATGTAGTCTGCACAGGCCCAGTTTTCAGCAAATTTCATATTTGTTCTCAGTTTTGGAGTAACAGGAAGGTAGGTGACGTAATAAAAAAAAATAAAAAAAATTATGTGAATAAAAGCTCAAATGCAATCTTTTCGTCATATAAACTGATCATGTCTTCAGAAGATTAAACTGCTTTATGGATAACTTTTATGAAACTTATAACTTATGTATATTTGTGAACTTTTTGATGGGAGAAAACCTACTCTTTTCAGCTCTTTTAATTATCAACATAACTACAAAAATGCTTCAACTGCTGTGATTTATGAATACCAAAATTCCTATGCATTATAGTAGCCAAAAAACAATGTGAGATAAGTAGCATGTCTAAATTTGTAGTATTCATTAAAACATTACCTGCGTGACCTTCTACTACCATCTAAAATATGTGTGTCCAGTGGACACTTAACTATTCCACGAGGCCCCAGGACATGATTCATAGATGGTGGTGAAGCAATGAAACTGATGCTTGACAGTGCCAAAATTGCAGCTGGATTACATTCACTACATGCATGGATACTTTATAGAACAAACACACAAAGTAAGTCTTGTCAAATGTAGTACCTGCTGTATGCGATTTAATAGTATTTTGATCTGACGGCAAATCTATAAGCCAATATCAATGACATCTCATTATTCATGAGATTGCCAGTGCAATACTAATTACTCTCATAATGCACCTGACCATGTATGTCCGCAAACATACTTCTGGTTTATAACCTTGGCAGTTTGATGGTGCTGCTTATCCAGCCATCTGCTCCTGGCATGAATACTGAGGGGAGGCACAGTCTTATTAGCTCTAGAAAATCACTGAGGCTACAAACTAAGTAGTTTAATCAGCAGAAAATCTACCTTTGGTTTCATGGAGGTTTTTTAAGGATTTGTACAGACCAGCATAACCACCCCATGACCTACTGATTGAAAATGGAGGACCCAAGATTACCACATTAACCATGAAAGATAATGGTGGATGCACTGAGCCAAGTACAGTAAGGTAAAGACTGGCATATGAAAAAAACCTTTTTAATGAAATTAATCTTTAGATGAAATATAAAATGTTATCATATTTGGTCAGTCTTGGATGGATGGATGTAGTTTTTGTTGCGGGGGCAAAACACGCAATACAGTGATTAAGATATTTACAAATAAACGTTCCTTAAAAGCCTGATGTATCATATTTCATACTCGCATTTTAACATGATTTTTGGATAACCAAGTAAGCCTAAGTTACCTCAGGCTAGTAGTAATTGAAATATTACTAACAACATGAAATATATTAAATCAGTAAAGATTTCACCGCAAAAGGACGTGTACCACAATCATACGAAAAGCCATTTACTTGCTTAAAAAAGTATGCACGATCAATCAGATGACATAAGGCATGTAGTCGATTGTGCACAACAGTTTTTTTCAGCAGAAGTGTTTTACAGGCTCAAGAAAGTTGCTTAGCAAATGTGATACAGCACTGATCTCTACATATATCTTCAGGTAGTTTTAGAACGTTGTATGAAGTAAAATAACCTGTGGACTGGAGGCAGAGCATGTGAGGAGTGTGAAGCATGCAGTTCTGTAACCTCTTCAGCTCTCAGCAGGGGCCCAGCAACTCTAATTAACAGTGCTTCAAACATTTCTTTTTGATTTAAGCTATCTTGCAATATCTCACTTGAAATATTTCAGACTTCAGCAGTGCTCAAAGTGAATATGTTTGTAATTGCTGGTAGCATTCTTCCTATTTCTGAAACAAAATCGTTGGGCTTTGTTATTTTATTACGCTATAAGAGACAATTTACTACCTTGCAAAGCTGCAATCGGAATGGTTGAGGAGAGATCCTTCATTAGATCTCTCTCAGCTTATTAGTTTTTTCTCAATTGTTAACCATTTTCTAAAAGCTACTCGTTACCCAAAACTATAAACACTGTTCACATTAGTTGCAAATCAGTTAAACGGCATGTAAAAAACACTAGCATTCAATGTCATCATAAAGCGCGCACAAGTAACATTCATTCCATGTTAAACCCTGATAAGCAAAATAGTCAACAGTCAAAAAACAAATAAGCGCGCAGATGAATTCACTGCTTTTTATCCAGGCAGCGCTAAAAGTGCTCAAAATATTCTTTCAGTGTTTCTGCGGGTCTTAATATGGTTTTAAAAAGTTTAAGCCACAAATTAGAGAGAGAGTACGCCCCAAAATGAAAATGATGTCATCTACTCACCCTCGAGCTGTTTCTGTTTGGTTACCCACAGTTTTCAAAATCTTCTTTTGTGTTCAGCAGATGAAAGAAATTCATTTAGCTTTGGAACAACTTGAGGGCGAGTAAATGATGACAGAATTTTCATTTTTGGGTCAACAGTCCCTTTAAGGCCTTCGGGTCTTAAATCAAAGCAGAAAGTCTTAAATTCGTAAAGCCATGACGTTAAATGTCGCATGCATAACAACATCGCAAAAAAAATTGATCTTCCACAGTATTGTTGACTTGTTTTTCGATACAAATATCTAAACAGCCTTAAATCAAGATACAAAATCAACATAGTTATAACTGTAGTTATAGAGCAAGTCTTCTTTTTGAGAAATTGGACAAAATGAAGTGAGTTTATGCTTGAAAGATGAACAAATATCAGTATAAATAAAGTGTACAATTATTTTCCCTTTGAATTAAGTTGATTTGTCTGAGCCAAAACCGTATTTCTTCTTGTTTTAATCATAAACTCACTTGACTTTGATCAGTTTCTCAAAAAACAAGACTTGTCGTTTTGCTTCTCAACATGTCTTGATTTAAGAAACTGGAAAAACAAGACAAAAATACTGAGGAAGAACAGCACTTTTTGCAGTGTGATCAGAAGGTACAGTAAAAGTTATTTCTATTCTTCTCAGTAAGCTTTTTTGTATAATTAATTAAAAACTAATGGAGATCTGATGGGAGTTGTGTTTTCAAACTTGCACAATACAACTCATTTTCTGCACCCTAGACTTCTACAGTTAGAAAACTTATTGACATTGTAAGTCTTATCAGTTCACTCTTTAAATTTCTTTACTTGATCTTAAAAGTCTTCAATTGACCTTAATAAAAACCTGCAGAAAATATTTACAAGAGGGATGAAGTCGATAAGGAAGAAGAGGAAAGAGGAGGGTGCATATGCGCGAAATAAAGGCAATGGAGGTTGCTTGTGAAAGTCCGTATATCCATCATATTAAGGTCTACCTTGATTATCCATGTGCCTGACCACAGTAATATTTCCTGTAATGTAGATGACATTCCATTCCTTATTAAAATATCTCACATTCTTCAGACAAACTTTGTATAATTTCTTGTATTAATGTAAATGTTTTTTTTTTACATTGCCTGCTTAAAAGTTTAAAACTTAAGTTTAATTATTATGAATGATTCATCCGTGCATTCTTTTTTTTATTATTAAATATTACAAGGTCAAAATCATTGTCAACTTGCTCATCCTATGAACAACAACTCTGCCGATGTATGTAAAGCCATGCTGCAGTCAATCGCAACTACCTGGATGCACACTTATACTGTAATTTGTAGAGATGGATAACATTAGTTTTATGTCTATTGAATTGTTTCACATGTGAAATGTATAACGGCTGTTCATTGTGCAGTATATCTGCATCTGACAGCCCTGTGAGCCATTCTAAGGCAAGGTTTTATGTACTGTTTTTTTGGAATAGAGTTTTTCTTCTTCTCAGTTTAAAGTCTGTAGTTTTGGATTTGTATTTAAAGTTAGAAAACGTAGCTTTCAGGAAATATGTCTTGTTAGGGCAACTTGCATGTGTCAGTTCCAAGCTGAAAACCACAACCACACTGCAGTGAGTCAGTGACCGTGAGTTCAGACCATGCTGTCGGTACCGTTTTTGGTGGTTCAAATCAATATATTTGCTGTTATCTGAATTGAATTTACTTTTAATATCTGAAATAAAATAACAACAGTGGAGCTCAATCACTCCTCAAGTAAAGGTATTTTTTTAGCAGATGCAGAGCATAACCAGTAGAGGTCAGACTGAGTCCTCTGCTGGTTACTTTATAGACCTTGGATGTTTTCTGAGAACAGTCCACTGGCCTTCATGCACTGCTGTGCTAAACAGCAAAATCTTCAATTCCAAAAATAATTCCTGAAATTTCAAAATA